TGCCAACAGGCATCCGAGTTGCTCCCTCATCCTTCCCTCAACACCACTGCCGTTAAGAGATTTCAAATTTCTGCCTCATTTCCAAAGCAGCCAATGGTTGCTCACCTGTTGGGCTTTGCCGCCAGCCCATTGGGCGTAGGGGACAGAGGGAGGTGGGAAAGAGGTTGGGGATACGCCCATGATGATCACGTCACCTGGACTCACCGCAGCAGTGCAGAAGCGGCCACAAATTTCCTAAATTTCAATCCCATAGGAGTAATGGGTCCCAGATTTTGGACGCATTCTGTAAGTTAGCCCATTTGAGATAACCTTGGTTCAAAAAATTTGCCTCATGACACACCATTTCGCCCAGTTGAAGGTTACAGACACAAGAGTTTTAGTAGTATATAGATGTAAACAAATTATATAACTTCAAAGAAGAAAAACAGAACACAACAATATTTCAGATCATCATTGCAAAATTATCCAGTATATTTTATTATAGGTAACAGCCAAGAAATCCAACTTTAACTTAATATGGCTTTCTTCTAATGTAAAGGCTGCATATACCTTTACATAGACCATAGAATATCTGCCAAATACTGCTTTAGATTAGCAGGAGAGCATTAGAACACTGCTTCCAGTGAAGTATTCAGGATGAGTTTACAGGAGATACAATTTTAAAAGTTTGATTAGAACATTTTATATGAAAACATACAAATTTTTTGTACATATGCTACATATAAAACTCACTATTATACTATTGGTGGTACCATTGATTGATTATGCTTTTGCATAATGGGAAGACGCAGTCAGGTTTTAGCAGAAATAATGAAGAGATATACTTTTGTATCTAAGAATAAAAACTGTTTTTAAAATAACCAGGCAATCTCCCCACTCCCCCTTTATGCATACAAAGATCAGATCTTAAAAGTACATTCATAAAACAAAGAAAGGTTCTCCCTGAGATTACCAGTGTTAGTTTTATTGTGGTAATCTTGGAAATAACAGCAATAGTATCAACAAAACATATAAAACCCAAATTTGCCAGTATATTACATCTTTTCTGCCAGAAAAGTGCACAATTATAAGACAGGTGTAACAGAGTGGAAAATCAGGCTCATTCTCCAGGTGAAAAAGGTTGCATGGTCTTGGCTTAATTTTGTAATGGAAGAGAAAAATGTTTACATTTATGTTGGAGCTCTAATGAAAGATTTGCATGCTTTATTATGCATAATTATTTTGTTTAGCACTATTTTTCATCAATGCCTGAGTTTTACCCAAAGGATAATATCCTCAAAATGCAGGTTTCCATAAATTATTCTTTATTAATACAGCATTATGTAGTGTAGTAACCCAAATGTTCTAAAGAGCATTATCTCTGCATGTATTTATAAAACATTTATGACAAAAGTTGATGAAATTCAACATTAAAATATTTATGTCATTTTTCTTACTGTAATCTTAACACCACTCAGCTTTATATACTACTATAATTTAGCATTCTTCACCACTTTTAGAATAAACCACAATTTTTAAAGTCAGTTCTCTTAAGTTAATTAAAAATATATGGATTTAAACATATTTTATCATAGTCTGATTTTTAAATTGTTGACAATTTATTTCAATATATAATAACCATGCAATTAATTGCATTTGAGAGAGAAATGGGATGTGAAAGCCTTCCCTGAAACCAAAGAAAATACATATTTATAGGAAAAGTAGAGGAAA